TTTTCATTATAGCTTCATTAAAAATGTAAGAAGTGTTTGTTAAAATGGCTTGTGCAAAGACGATTCCTACCAGTGAAACCAACAAAGTAAAAAAAACAACAACATTAGATACACACTACCAGAAGAAATAGTAGTATACGCATAGACATTACCCTCATTTAAGGGTTGCAGATATACATATACGGGAAAAGCATTTTATCAGTAAATTTTCCGAAAATATTCTTTGTACCATTTCCATAATTGTCTTACAACGATATCAAATGGCAGAAATATGCACTTCTATTAATTTTTCGAATAACATCGTCAATGAACAATATGCTACAAGCGTTTTTCTTCTAAATCACATTGAAACAAAGCCTATAGAGATTTAATGAAAAAAACTGGAAGTTTTGGAAACGCAAGAAATGCAGTCTACTGCCAGAACTCTGCCACGCGACTGGTTGTCTCTGAGGCCGGTCATCTTCCCCGCGGGCGCAGTGGCTCTCGCTCAGTGGCCATGCCATTAGGGTGTTTCTCTTCTCTCTCCCCCTCTCTCTCTCTCTCTCTCTCTCACACACACACACACACACACACACACACACACACACATAAACCCCTCCTAAACATTTACTACTAGAGTCGGATTGCCGCATATATCTTCAACACGTTCCAGAACCATTTCTCCAGTGGTGTTAAACGTTCTACTTGTACACGTTGATTGGAAACTTTTTTACTCGCATTTTTGCAGTAGAGTATTTTCCATAAGCTCGCTGTACACATTTTAGGCTGAAAGTACAAGTTACCGAATTTTTGAAACAATCTAGATAATTTATCGTCTACATTGTTACGAAAAACTGAGTCAATTGAACTCTCTTTGTTTTCAGCAAATGTTTCTTCATACGCGACAAAAAACAAACCTCTTACTTCGATTTTTCAAAACGCATTAAAAAAGTACATATGTTGTTTACTACATAAGTTCACAAAATGAATTTGGGTTTTCATTAATTGAAAATAGATTTGTAATTGTAACTCGCTTCAAAATATAAGAGATTCTGATATAATATTAAATTAACACAATTCTTATGAACACAAGACTGCACAGCAATACGTTTGCGTTTCGCGCGCTAGCGAAGAACTGTTTCATTGGAAAGGATGAGAACTCTTTTCAGTGAAGATATATCTCACACTTTTTTCGTTCAGTGTCACACTTACTTCTCCTACAAACTTGTGCTAGCTGAGTGTTATATCTTCAAGACATGTCAAAGCATATGTTGATATCGCCACTGCGCAGACGCAGTGGCGATCGCACTCTCAGCCGAATGCTCCTTCCGTCCATATAGCCACTGTTGTTCCCCCGTTCCCCTCCAGCCTCGCGGCAGCCTACGACGCGCTTTATTCGTTCGCAATTCCCGAGTGTGCGCCGGCTGGCTTTCACGAAGGACTTTGGCGGCGATTGGGAAAGGCGAAGTTGAAATTTTCATGATATTCCCAGTATTAATCTAGGTTTTTTCATCGTTTCTCAATATTGAATTTACATTACACATCCACCGTATCTTGTCAAGAGAGATAGAGTTTTGTTTTATGAGTAGCACGAGCAGAAACGATAAAATATGAAAGTTAAACAGAAATATATTAACTCATTTAAAGCCTTTGAATAAAAAAAACGCAAAATGTGTGATAGTAAAAACAAAAAGAGATTGAATACTGTCGATCAAAATTCGGTCCGCCATGAGAACCTGGCGTGCGAGTCTTTCCACCCTCACCCTCTCCCTTAATGCTGGTGCAAAAGGGGTACCTCGGTAGCCTTCTAGCGGAGTTTGGCTCCGGAGCTACGGAGAACTGCATGTTTGCAAGCTGGCATCTTTACACAGCGGGGGGCCGGTGGCGGGTCGCACCTTCGGGTTACAGACGGCGGGCGGCAGCGGCTCCGTACGGCGCTGCATGCGGCTACTTGGCGCAGATCAGCGAACTTGAGCGCTCGCGGGCGTCCACGTGTGCGCGGCGGACCGCGCGAGCATGCCTGCCCCCACCCCCGCCACCCTGGCCACGCCTGACCCCGCGTCGGCACCCAAGGCCCGCCTCCCTCCCCACCTGCCAAACCGCCCCGCCGGCTCACTGAGGGGCACTTTGTGAGCGTTGGAGTGACCTCCCCGTCCCCTTTGATATCTTGTGTAGACTTCATACTACGTTCAGAGAGGAATTAATTCGAATAATCATATCTTATCTTAGGAATTAATTCGACTAAGATCTAATTTTCACACGTCATCGCTTACAGAAAAGAAAATAGCAATATTTGTACAATAATGAAGTAACAATACGTACTATATTATTTAATAGTTGATAAAAATTTCATTTTTTCCGAAAGGAATAATACACAGTTTAATAGTTTTATTGGATTTTTTTGGAAGTTCATTATATAAACAAAATGAAGATTATCGCCCACAACAAAAATTCAAATATTTTTATACTAATATCACACCAAAGACCTTAGGGAATTACATTTTCAGTACTGTGCTCGGCGAAGCGCGTCAGCGACTACATGATGTGTAAGATCTGTGTTCCATCAAAGAGCTTTTCCTCTTGTGTAGGAGCCCAACGCGTCAGAGAAGGAATGATATGTTCAGAGAGCTGCATTTTGTATATAAGACGCACAGATGCAGCTCTCACATGACACGCCATGAGTATCACAACAGACGCAAGAGGAAAGGAGCCGCAAGACTAGAATACAGTCTCGTTGCATTAGATCTCTAATTTGTCTCTAATAAGAGGAAAATGCAAATTTTCCATTAAAATGTGCATATGAGGGCTGCTTTCTACCTTCCGATGGACTATAACAAAAATACAAGTGTAAAGAAAAAATTAATTTATTACCGAAAGTTAAGTACAAATATGGTTACTTTTCTTCGTAATCCCCGTGAATGTTCAGGCATTTTTTATCTTTAAACAAGCTTTTTGATTCCCGCTTTGTCGAATTATGCCGCTCCTGATGAGAATGGGTCTCAAATGTGCTTTGAAGTTCCTTAATGGTCTTGAAGCTTTAGCCGCCTTTCCAATTCTTCAATTCGAAGGAAATACGAACATCACCCCCCTGATACTCCTAATGACCAAGCACTAAATACTTGCCAGATATTGTTTGCTTACAGCAGCACTGTGAGGGTCGGGAATGTCATGGATGAGCATATCTCCTGAAGGAAGAGTTCCTAATTTGTTTGAAGGTTTACACTATGTTGTGTGCTGATTCTTTTGTGAATTTCTGTTACACTATTTTCTTCTACTTGCGGAAGCGAATAGCACTACGCAGCTTGAATTTGGCGTCAGCGTCTAATGTATCAGCCTTTTTCACGAGCCTGACGAAATTGACGATATGACGTCGGTATTGGCAGAAGTTGTGGTAAAAAGTTACGCAATCGACCACTGCGCATCCTTATATCCCTCTTCTTGTCTAGCGATTTAAATATTGATTTAAAGTTTAGAAAAACGTACTAAGTATTTTTTAGTAACACAATTATGTTATAAGTATTACGAACTCAAGCAGAGGAACGAAAGGTCACACTATACAACCACTGTCGATTTCGATGTAAGAGTCCGCAGTCCGGAAATAAGTTCTAGCTAAAGAAGTAGGAGTCGGACTCGCATCAAGAAATCTTTTTTGTGATTTATACTTGACTTTCTTTCTCACGGGAATATGGTGCTACTTACAGAAAGTATTGAATTACACGCGACCGATAGCACAAATGAAGAACTCAGTTAATTATTTGCTTTTCGGCCTATTGACCCAATCACAACTAAACTACATTAAACAATGTTGACTTTTGAAGTAATTATACGTAAAGGACCCTGTGTGGTAGAGAAATATCTGCACGTGTGCAATAAACCCGCCCGTCAAATTCCTGATGACGAGGTTTATTCTGTAGTATTGGTATTTTCAGTTATTTATTTATATAATATTTTATATGGTTTGATTCCTTTTCATTTTTGTGTATTATTTGGAATAACAAGCCACGTTTCAGACGATCGTTTTCTTTGAAAGTCTATGAGTTTTACATTTTTTTGTTAAATTTAGAATACAAGGGAATGTTATCCCAGAATTGTGTGCCTAGCAGTAACATGACCTGCGAAAAATAAAAATAAAATAATATTTCCTAAAAATGTTATCACAATAATTTCAACTTCTCGGTTTTCGTTCCTAGAATTATTTAGAATTTGTGAGGTGTAATTGGTGTATTGCAAATCAGAGCGCAACGATTCGTTTTCAAAACCCGCTGCAAACATTAGCAGAGCTGGCGACCGGAGTCGATCCGCTTGCAATTACACAGGAGTAAGTGAGGACGCGACCATTCTGCGACGATCGGAAGGAAGAATTGCCACGGGTTCACCCCAGGAGACATGTGGGGATGAAATGAAGCTTTGTTTATTTTAAAGAAAGATCCAAATTCACCTCACTTTTATTGTGGTTTATTATTTATTCTTGCCAGCCATCTAAATATTTATTTGCAATATCAAAACATTCAGAGATGCTTCAAAGAACGCTGCGTGTGAAATAAATTATATTTTATATAGATAGGTTATTTGTGTTATTGAATGAAGTGAAAGTGTAAACAGAAAATGTTTTTCTATTGAACACATCTAGGCACACAACTGAGAAAGAAGTATAAATACATGTACAACTGTATAAGCAAACTCTTTTCAGATAGTGTTAAGGAGACAATATATTCAATAACGAAATAAAGATAAAAATACATTATATTCCATTATAATCAGTCCAGGTTTTACAATGTTTATGAAAATCATAAATTTCACAAACTTATGCTCTTGAAGGTATTTGCATAAATTGCAGTGCACAAAAGCTAAGAACGTCTGCAAAAAATTGGAAATTTAACAAATGAAACTATAGCAATTACCATAATTAAACGCATATTTAATAATCAATGGTCAGATGGCTAAAATATCCGCTTTTCTAACCCATCCGAAATAAATCCATATAGCAAATCGGACAGATAAAAAACATGTAATATTAAATTTGTGAATATTATTTTACTGAGCTGTTTTAGGTAATATATTCACCCATTTCTCTACTTTTTAGAAGTATAATCTACAGAAGACTGCAAATGACTTTGCATTATTTCACAGAAGCGTATGTTAGGAATATCTTCTAATTGTTCTTAATGACCTCTGGACGCCGCCAAAATTAAAGTCCGCCGCGCAGCGCTTCCGGAGGACGACGAAGCCTGGCGCGCAGCCACTCTAAATTATCTTTGCCGAGCGACCTGTCTTCTCCAGAATGGAGCAGACGACCTTCCCATCTTGGATCTCCATTCATATATGCAGGGCATCTTCGTGGCGGGGATATAAAGCTGTCAGAGTTTGCCCACGACCAAGCCCCACTTCCATAACTGCTTTTCCAAAGCAATGGGCGAGTATTTTGCAGTCCTGTAAATAGATAACTCAGTTGTGTGTCATCAGAGATTGCATTTAGAATAAATCGTTATTAATCTTTCTATGATATTTTTCCTAACGCAAATTTTGCTTGAGATCTAAACAAGGCTTCAGTGAGCACCATCACACCCTCTAAAAGACGTAAAAATGAGGAGAGAAATAATTTAGTTACTTCATTTATATTATCTCACGGCGAGACGTATTCCCGTGTCCCTATTCCATAAGAAAATGTAATGAGAAAGCAAGACAAAGGTAGAACCATTCCTCAGAAAGTCTTGGCAAATATGGTTTTGAAAGATAATTACCTAATAATTCTCATCATTTCTACCAAATAATGATGAAGAAATCCGTATTTTTTCTTTAACAGCTTACCCTTCGCGCGTGCTCATGCTTTAGTAGCAGACGTACGATTCAGAGATGACGCTTTTCCTGCCGCCGAACGTTCTTTCCTATTCATAATATAAAAGCTATTTTCATCATGAGGAAGGGATTCATTAAATTACATAAATTACACATTATATTGAGAAAACAACATATAAAATATTTTAACCATTTTCGCTCAGAAAAATGTCTTTCTTAGAATAGTGTTTGTTATATTAAAAAAATCTTTAAAAATACCTTCAAAAATCCTTGATATTACATGTACATAAAATATAATAATGGCAGAATAAAATAAAACTAAATTAAAATTTGATTTTAGAAATTCAAATAATACGCATAAAGCAATCTCCTATAATAATGAACTACATGTAATTGCAAATTAAAAACTTAAAGAAATTGTTTTAGTTTTTTAAAATATCATTATTCAAAAATACATATTAATAACATTATTATTTACTATTAATAAAAACTACAACAAATATGGCAGAGTCGCGTCCTCGTGAAAGTGTTTTGCCACCTAGAAGAAGAATAGTGACGATGGTTACTTAGGGAAAATTTGGCGCAAATTCAATTGTCTTTCCAGAAATGCGTTACCGCTACCTAATTTGTAAATGTGTAATAAAAAAACCTGATTTTTCACCATACAAATTGCCACTAGTACTAGCACGAAATGCATCAAAGCACTGGGCCGTTTGTTTTTTAAAACGGCATTTCCACTACTCACGCAACCGCACAAAGCTTATACGAGTAGGCAAACATGTTTTTCTCATTCCTCATTTTTCATTAAAAACATCTAACACTTATTACATTTCATTGAGTAGAGGAGATTTTGTGATTAATCTCCTAATCACAAACCATTTGTTGCAAAAAACGTTTATAATAAAATTTGTTTGTGTACTTCAATTTGCCACGGGTGTATTAGCCACGCTTTAAAACATAAGTTAAATGAACTTCACTTAATATACTTAAACAAATAGCTTTCATTTTCGTAAGGAAAACGTACATCACATTTTCCCCCACCACAAAATTAAAACAGCGAATATATACGTCTTACATGTTTAAATGGTGCAGAATACACTCCATTTTCGTAATCCATTTCTGCTGCTCTGAGCGAATTTATCATCTACATTACGTTTAATATATTACTCAAGCCACTGAGACAGCTCTGAAGAGAATATTTTTCTCGGCGCTTAACCATGCGTAATAGTGTTCCACTCTCTACGACGTTCCTTTTTTCGCCTCTGTCTCTCTGTCTCTCTCTCTCCTCTCTCTCTCTCTCTCTCTCTTCTCTCTCTTCGTCTTTCGCCGCGAGGAGGAAGGGCAGGCTGTGAAGAGCGGGGACCGAAGAAGCGCGAAAGATGCGGAATCAACGGCGGCGCGAAGAGGCGGGGGGGGGGGGGAAGAGGCGGAGGCTTAGAGGGGAAGGCGCCAACGACCTCCGAACGACGCAGGCCTTCCGGGGGCATTCCGCCCGCGCATTGTCAGCCGCCGAACGGGCGTTCGGGCAAGTATACGCCCCCGCCGCCAGCGTAATCGCGCCGTAAAGCAGGGGTTACGAAGCTTCGCTGAAAGGGCCGGAGGCCGTCGTGGAAAGTTTCCCGGAAAACGCTGCAAAAAAGGGGGAAACGCATTTGTCTAGAAAATGTCGTCCGACCTAAATAGAGTAGCAGGCTGCGTCTGGGCGAGCCTTTTCTGGACTACTGTCCGTGGGAACCCTTGTACTGTAGTAAAACATCCTGTTTGATATTTTGATATTTCACTGCGTTTCAAGGCCTTTAATGCATGCATAATAACAATCATTCTTCATTTTCTCACTCAACTGCACCAGACGGATATTTCTTTGTAGATAGGTACGGGAGGAGTGGTTAACCCACTACCCGGCTTTGTGGATGTGCAATGTGGACAGAACAAGGAAGGGATGATGGTGTGCGGTGAGTGACCTACACTAGAGACTGCTGCTCCGACATTCGCCTGCAATAGATCATGGAAACCACTGGTCAGAGCAGATGACACACAAATTCGATTCTGGCGCGCGCTTCAAACCCAGTGATGCTAATCAGAGCGCAAATGTACGACGCCTGCTGGCGATCGAAGCCGCGACATTCCAATCACAAATATTCTCGCGCCATAAATAGTTGCCTTACGGTTTGGCGATACCGGTGATGGTATTTACAATCGTACATTATTTTGTAAGAAACACCCATTCTTAGATCCATTTACATCCACTAGACAAATAGAATGCAACACTTACTAAATATAAGAAACTGTACCGACTACATACGCGATTGTTCTAACATTTCGGAAGGCAGACATTTGTCGTGGTTAACAAAGGTAAGCTATCATTTATTCTATTCAATCTTATAAATCGTCATATATCTCCATATAATTACCATGAAACAAGGGAATAGGCCCTTCTTCACCAGTTCCCTGGAAAAATGACATTAGAAGAGAAAGACAAAATTTGGCTAGAACAGAAATTAATACGTTACGTTTCATTTGGCTGAAAAATTTCTGATGACTTTCTCTCATTACAACTGCTCCTAGTTAAACACTTAAGACAGTGTATTCATGGAATTAACTATACTCAGATGCGTATTAATTTCTTAATCACGTGAGTCACGAAAGAGAAGAAGGGAGATGATGGTAGTCTAGGTGATGTCTGATGAGAAGAAATGCACGCCTTCAAAAGTACGTTTTGTTTGAAGACATGAAATAGGTTTTTGGTATGTTTTCGAAATTATTCTATTAATGTATATCTAAATACTAATTTAGAGTTCTGCTCTCTAGTATTATAAAGAGCATTTGTATATCTTAGTTTTTAAAAATCAGCACATCAAGAAAAATCACATACTAAATGTTGTTACGGAGAGAAGTACAAAAGAACTTCGCACTGAGAAGCGCATTTCTTCACGGAAGAATAATTATTATTTCCATTTTTAAGGAAACAGTTTTTCGTTAAATATAAGCAGTAAATACTGCCTGTCTCACGGACTACCGTACATCAAAATATTTTGTTTTCGTAAACTGAACCACTTTCAATGTACATTTAGATCACCAAATTTATTTTTTAAGAAACCATCGTTTGTAGTTCACGTTTCACAATATACTCACTTTAAGTTATGTATCGCACGGCATCCTCTTCAAAAATGTGTGGACACCCCTGGGGTGCCAAGACATCAACGTAAAGCCCGGCGGAGGAAGGGGCGTGTTGTAACTGGGGAAAGCTGCGGTTACTACCGCAGAGGTAGAAGTCCATCTCCGTTGAGGGTGGAGCACGGTGTGATCGCGACGACAGAGCAGTGAGGCAAGAGAGAGAAAGAGTGAGAAAGAAAGAGAGATGAAGAGAGACAAAGAGAGAGACAGAGAGAAAGAGAGACAAGGAGAGAGAAAGAGGGGGGAAAGGTAGAAGGTCTAGAAAGCGTAAAGAAAACACAATCAAAACAACTTTGACGGAGAAACATCGGAATTGTTCTTGGCGACAATATTTGGGTTATTTTTATCAAAAAAACTTCAAGAGTTTTTCTGTTAATTGTAGTAACATAAAAATGTATTGTAATGTGCCTTACAGATTTCCGTCTACGTTGTATATTATCATGGAGCTCTGTTTACGCATATCTGCATTAGTTTATGGGTACTTTCCATACCACAACCAAGTTTCAATCACCTTCGTAATTATCTTTAAAAAATCTCTGAAACAATGTTATAATGGAGAATATCTAAACTTGATTCTAGTTTGTTATAAAGCGAGGCTGGGCAAGATAAATAGATATGATGAGTCAACACGTAAAGAAGCAAGGAAGAAAAACGTGAAACGCATGGAGAAAGAAATTTCGCGGAGATTTGTTGAGCCAGCGATAAAGTTTTAAAGATTCAATTGTCTAAGACGAGTCAAAATGCAATATTCTTATCATTATTCCATTCATATGTTCACCAAAGAATTGTAAGAATTTCTTCATTTCTGTGATACACTTCATTCACATAATTTTGATTTTTGCATTTCGAGTCGCTTTTGTTTGACAGGTGTGACGCACACTTTTTCACAGAATATAATATTCACTGTTTGTTAAAACATATTGCTAAGAGTGACCATTCACGTTTAGTACTAATATGTATGTTATGGTCGACCGATTGTATGTATGAAAGTAGCATTGTCTGCCAGAAAATGTCATTATTTAAAGAGTTGACGAAACTATTAAGTCATCGAAGAGCCTTTAAAATGTCAACGAAACCATGGAGTTTTGCCCTGTTTTACCCACCGCGCCTGACTCACCTTTATGTTGTTTATATTACAAGTTTTGATAACAATGAATTCTTTGTCTAGATTGCTAGTAGTACGAAAGAGATGTAATGCAGCATCTCTACATTCAGTTGGCAGCAAGTCGTTGTCAGCGCCGAATTTTTAACTTATCCGTCAACATTGAGAAATTGCCCATCACATTGAATATTTTTTTCACATTATTCTTCCCGTTCACTCAATTTTTTTTGTATATTTTCATAAAAAATGAAAAATCACTGTCTTTTGCTTGTCCTTGGAAGAAGTACAATGTTGACCCTCTTGTACACTGTATATAGTAATAATTGATTTTTGACACATTGGATACCTGAACAGCTTTACCCGCAAAACCGAACATGGTACAATATTGTAGACGACTCTGGGGCGACAAAATGCTTAGAACGTTAAGCTCTAGCATAAAATTTCGTTCTAAATGTTACTCAGTACCACAAATCAAAGAATAATTGCGGGAAGTTAGTCTTCTGAGGATGGATGCCGAAGAAAGCATGACTTGAACCTAGCAGCTGTCAGACAAGTTCCGTATACACGGTGTCTATCGCTCATTTCTCAATAACTTCACATTAAAAGGTGGACGCGTTGTCAACTGTTTGGCATCACGAGTACTCAGAAAAGAATTCAGACAACTCACAATACACTTTTAATGTTTTATTATTTTCTTTTGGTATTTTTTAAATTTATTTCAAAAGAGTAAATCTTGTGGAAAGTTTGTAAGGGTTAAAATTTATTTAGAAAATATAACACTATTGAAACATGTGTCCATTTTACGTTGGTCATGCGTGAGCCATCACGCCGTCGACCAATGGGGTCAGTCTAGGAGTGGTCGGCCTACACACAGTTAAGGTTTCGAACGTCTGGGAAATACTTCTGTCCAGGACATCGTTAACATTTTATAGAACTTGAGGGTAAACTTCAATAAACCACGATTAAATATTGAGCATCATTTTCACAGTCTAATAATATCCTTAATGATGATACGAATACAAGCGTTATAATAGTTTCAAATGAAACATCAAGATACCAATTCAAAAGTGTATTCCATAACTGCATATTAATATAATTCATTACTGTTTCTTAACATTTGTTTCCAGAGTATTTTATTCTAGAATAATGTTGTCCTTTATCTAATTTAATAATTTTTTGTTCATATACTGTCATACTAATTTTGTTATTCTCTTAGTGATATTCAACCTAGTTAACATTTTAATGATTCTTTGAAAGACATTTAAATTATTTCCTTTTGTAAGAGCTTTCAAAACGAAAGTTATCAAAATTATATTTTAATAAGTTGTCGGAATTAAAATTTATTTATATTAACATTCGTCAAATAACCTTACTAAATGCCACTAGTTGCTTCTCGACTCGGAGCTTTATCAATAATTTCTCATTGATGTACCTTTTATACTTGACATTTGCTCTGGTGTTTAACTTCATAATATTAGATTTTCTACTATAAGTTTGTAAGCAAAAAGCGATCATTTTCGATCCCTCTCCCTAAAAGCTCTAGAAGGTTGTAACATTAAGTTCGATAATTTGTAGACATAATATCATAACTTTTTAAAACGCTTATTTTTTCCTACTTGGGTGTACATGATTGTGCGTGAAGAGCAATGCTCCAAACAGAAATATGATATCCAACATTTTAGCCTAAGCCGCTCACTTTCATGGAGTAAAATTCACTTCTTGACTGTGACGAAGAATGTTCCTGGAAATCTCGCATAATGTGAACATCCCCGAACGTCACCTCGTGTCACCCATCTCGGAGCTTTTACCCTCGCTGCTCCACTCTTCCTCCCCACGAAGCGTGTTCCTTGCTGCTTCGCCATCTCGCCGCTGTCGCTGTCGCTGCTGCTAATTATGTAAAGCGGCGCCTCCGAGGGCCTTGTTTTTACGGAGATGAGCGCTACTTCTCAATCACCGAACCCAGCGGCGGGGGAGGGAGGCACCGCTCGACAAGAATTACGGGCGACGCCACTTAAAGAGTTTCGAGCCGGTTGTGTCACTCGTCGTTATGGCTCGCTCGCGGCCGTGGGGAAGAGAATGTAAGCGACACGCAGCGAGGTAGGGGAGAAGTACAGTTGGGCCGGCCAGTAAAGAGCAGCGAAGATGCGCTTGGCTAACTGAAGTGTTGCGAGCTTCGATACGGATCAAGTTCCGTTTGTTATACACCGGCCTGTCCCTCCAAGTTAACCATAGACATATAGTAGCTAATAATGATACTAGAAGAAGCTCAAACATGGCCACGAAGGAGCGTACAACGCTTTAGCAATCTCCGGTAATTTAACAATCTAAATTTTAGAAATATTACATGTCAACGTGTTTCGTTTCGGACGTATAATGTTTTGTTTAGCAGATATAAAATTGTTATAAAGCTGTGTAACTGTCAATTATAAACGTCATTTTCCCCTCCAGATATCTCCCACACCGTCAAAACACTCCAGCCGGGACAAGTTCTAAGTGGTTTCCTGACATGTCTGGTGGAGAAAAAGTAAAAAACGTTTCACTTTTGTTCCAAAGTTAAATGTCACTTAAGTCCTTACGTGAGTTGTACTCTTCATTTACCCCTTTTCTCTGAGACTAAAAGTCATGCCTATTTCGCGGGAGTCATTTGCGGTTATGTGCAAGATTTTATCACTCAAATGAGGAAGCGTCTCATCTCTACTGCGCTTAAGCAGTAGAGAGACTTGTCCAACACGTAATGCACATTTCTGCCGTGCATATTTTGTAAAGCAGTGTACTTACCAAAAAAAGTTGATAGAGCTGTGTACAATCACTATGGAACTATATGGAGGTACGCGATTATCGTTAGGTCAGTGGTTTTTGCATGCTACAAGGTCTTGCTAAGTAAGACAGATGGGCGGAAAGAAGCATTCAACAGCCAACACATTTTTACGATGCGTTAGATCCATTTGAAATATCCTGTAACAATTATTGTGTGAAGTGCATGTAATACCACTTGTGTCGGAGTTAACTGCTAATGTTTTATTCTTTTAGTTCATTAAATATGTGGAGCTCCAGTTCAGTTATCAATTCGACACTCGTCGATAAATCTGCGGCTCCATATATTTTAACTTTTACGAACTGACTGTTCTGCCATGTGGTTATTTTCTCTTTAAGCGCCTTTCCTGTTTTCATGTCAATTAGTTGGATTTAAAAGTCTATTTTCTGTTCAGAAATTCATTTATTTATTTTTGTTCTTGTAGTGCCGTCCCGATACGTTCTGAGTTGTCGAAAAATTAATTGCATCATGGCGTTCTCTTTGATTAACGGAAATTTTTATCACTGGTCGTACTTGACTTCTCCACTTTCGGTTCAAAAAACTTCAAAAAACAATGTTGTGGCGAACACAAAATCTGCCCAAGCATCCATTTGCACAAAAATTTTGACTCCAAGGTCTGACATGATTCGAAGAGCTTTTCTTTGTATCATTATTAGCCAACTTACAGGGAGGTCTTTTGAACGGGCGCGATTAAATCGTTCTAAAACAATACCGTTAATGCTTTCCTGAGGCTGCGAACTTCTCTTCTTGGAGTCCTTATTAACGTTTTCTTACCGCCTCATGAACTAATCTGGATTGCAAAGAATTTAGTGTACCTGGCTACCAGAATAAAATAGCTTAGTTAACCCTTGTTGCGACTTTCTGTTGTCGATTTCCTTTACTACAACGTTCCTCCAACTACACAGCGAAAGAACAATTAGCGGTAGATTTTATTGTAAGCTGAAGGAGAAATCGTCGAACCTGCCTTCCATGCCACTCTAAGAATATCACACCCAAAGGGACAAATGACAGCGGCGGTACCTCCTACCGCGTGAGAAATCGCGTGGATCATCGCCGGTTGCCGCCGAGACAGCAAGTTGCAGCTAGCAGAAAACGACATAAGACACTGAAAAACATTTCTCGAATCTTGGGCAAAAATCGTCGTCTTAAAGGTGGAAAGTGTGATTTTGAAGAGGAATTAATGGTTGTTGGTCGGCATCAGGAGTGGTCGGAATAAAGGGAATTTCAATGCACTGGTCTTACGGGAAAAACATTCCGCCCCGAACAAGAGTGGTCGGGAAAAGGGTTGGTCGCGTTGGATGAATGGTCGAGGAGAAGGGTTTCACTGTATTTATTTGATGTATGGATTTTATACAATCATTTGTTTGCAATTAAATATAACGGTTCGCATTATTTCAGAGTATAAAACGATCATGCTATACAATTCCCACCTGTGCTATTCCGTACTAGACTAGTACTCCCGTACTAGATAAAAGACTGAGTGCGGGCCTAGTGATCGCTTGACGTGTCGGTTAGGTTTAGCCACCACCCTCAGGCTAAAGGAATATACACATACCGATTCATAACTGCATCATAGATGATATCTCATCCCCAGAAATCCTTCCCTGAGGGGAACCACGAAAGTCCCCTGAGTCAGACCAAGTAAACCGAAGGACTGTGTGGCTGCTCCGCGAAAGAAGAGCGTTTCTCGTACAAAGCGGCCTCGCCGTAGCAGATTGTGGGGGTTGGGGGCGTTTGTGGGGCGGGGGGGGGGGGGCAGGATAGATGAGGCGACCGGAACTCGCGCAGGAGGGCGTTTCATTAACCCGATCTGTCGCCGACCTGCCGCGCCGCAGGGGCGCAGCGGAAAGTTCGCCCCGGCGCTCATTCATTTCTTTCGCCCGCCCGCCGCTTCATTTTTGTCTCTCCCCCCCCTGGACCGGCGCGGCGCCGCGGGCGATTCTTCTGCGTCTGCGCAACGGCCCGCGGCGGCGATGCCCGAGGCCACTTAGGTTAGGGCTGTCCGATGGAGGAGTCACGGTTTTGCTCGAAATGTTGAGACAATGAGACTGGTAACAGAGATACATGCCTAAAACCATTAAGAATGTAATTAACGCCCAAACATGACGCATTAATTCATACATTTTAATTTCTCATCAGAAACGAATTTCTGTTCTACTATTACTCATTCAGAATTAAGAATGTAAAATTTAGAAAAAAGTATTTAGTAGAAGAAGATACTGTCATAAAATTTATTGCCAAAACGTTTGATAAAATATTTCTAGGGAGTCTGAAATTGAAAATGGGTGTTTTTAAATTCCAGTAGTTTTAGTATCACGAGCAAAGTAAAGTCGAATACTGAATATTGTTAATATCTGGAATATATAGCTGTCTCTATAACAACTACCGAAATATTCAAAGTTCTCCAGTTCTCAATTTCCTTTAGTAACGCATTTCTGGTGTGATTGAGCTTTAAAGATTATTATTAATCGTACATCTAAAAAAAACAAAAATTTGTAAATCTTATTTGCATTTTGATTGTAAGTTGGAGACTATGCAGACACTAAGGAATATATAATTACATTAATAACAAACAATACATATTGCAAACGCGTAAAGAATATCGGGGAAAATAATTTTCATCAAGGAAAATATCTTATTCCAAACAAAACTGTAATAATTCAGTAGGATATAGTATAGAAGTATTGATTTGCAAATAATACATGAGAGTAATTTTCTGCACACGATCTGTAGCAAATTTCCGAGAACACATTAAACTCACTCCAACATTGCCTAAAGCAATTGAAACTTTTCGCACCAAAAGCACTTGACGAGAGAAAATTACGTAGTGTATTCAACTCGAATTACCGAGAATGACTACTTAGCGTCAAACACCATTAATCCAGAGAGAACGAAATACATCTATCGCTGATGGAAGCCCAAACTCTCTCCCTCTCACCCTAATTCCACTCGACGCGATGCCTGGGGCCGAATTCCTCAAAGCCGTTCGCGGGCGGCGCAAACTTGGGCTGCCTCAAGAGGCTGCGCGGGCGTCGCTGTCACTGCTGTAAGCCGCTCAGCGCAGCGCCGACGAGATTATCTGCCCCTTGCCCACTGCGCCGCGCCGGGCAGTGTGCCCGACGCGAACCCCAAGAGGCAAAACGGTTCCAAACAAGCATTTAGCTTAGTGAATTTTACGTTTTCACGACGGAGCGGACTTAAAGGTATGTATGCTGCACGAAAAAACGACGAATTTTTCGTAAAAAACTTATTATAGGGCTCTTTTAACGAAAAAGGGCATAAACATGGCTACTAAATTGTAAAAAAACATGTATATCACGGAGTGTCACCAGAATCCATGTTTTATGGGTCCTTGATACCGCAAAATCGAATGACGACAAATTTCTATCTGTCTGTCTGTGAACAACACTAACATGATACGAATAAGAAAATTGATATTTCTCGATCAATCTGGTTGATTTCGTGGTCCCTTGAATTTGAAACCGATATCAATGTTTAGAGTTGCGTACAGTTATAAATTATTATCCTACAAATACGTCAAGGTCAAATACCCTTTAGGGTTGTTCCGATTTATGTACCTCCATGTTATTTTTCTTTCACGGATATTTCGCTACCTACAATATTACCGAGCGGCTGACTTTACTCTTTGCATTGCAGTTTCAAAATCGCAGGCAAGGCTTCAAACCCGGTAGTTTTGAACCTGGACACGCGTATTATTGACAAAGCTAAGTATCTGCTCTGGACAATGCTACTACCTCTCTGAAGAAATTAGGCCGGCTACTTTAATCCACGATTCCATGTTTCCCTATTACCAATTAAGAGAAAATACCTAAGAAGTACATCAATCTACTGTTTACTTACAGCGTAGAATCCAAAATATAATTATTGAAATCAGAGTTAGTGAAAAATGTAATACATTAAAATATGTATATCAGAAGACCGTTTTCGTCAATTCGCTACCCCATTATTTCCTATTAATTAAAATACATATTTGGATGTCAATATCGTAACATGCCCGACGTTTTCTAGCAATATATTTAATCTGAA